CTGGAACAGATGGCCAGAGGATGATGTTCTGCCTGTGGTTATTTTCTTCTTAGGTGTTTCCAGTAGCTGGCACACCTCGCTGCAGTCCCAGCAGCAGCACAGAACATGCAGCAGCAAACATATGCTCAAAGAATTGTCTTCATTAATTCAAGTTGCAGTCCTAAATGTTACTATGCAAGTAAAATGTACAGTTTGTTACAACAGCTAACGTTGTTCTCAAATCTACAATGGAGACGGATTTCCTGGTCTAAAACATAAATATATGCTTTTTAGCATCTGATTCCTAACCAGAATTGCACAGGCCTCTTTTCTTGTCAATCCCTGCCAGCACTACTGAAGACCTGCTTGTGTAAAGGCTGTGCAATAATGATTTCAGCAGGAAGACCTTTAACTAATGGGGAGAATGAATCCAGGTAGATAAAGTAAAGCCTTCACAGCATGGCCCAAAAAGTGAATGTAGGCTTGAATAAAGTTTGGCTATCTCCTTGTTTTCCAATGTTTTTATTTGTCTTGGAATTTTTCCGGCATTCAGGTAAGGAAAGAACAAGAAGCCAAACAGAAAGACAGCAGGACCTTAAGTTTTCTATAGGAGATGGTTTTTCATAGTTGTCTGGTCTGTAAGTAAGCCACCTTCAAATTATGCTGTGATATGAAATCTAGAGTGCATTTGAGGAGTATTTTTGAGGTTTATTCATCACTGCTTTTGTAAAGAAAAAAAAAAAAGAAAATATAATCTTCTATTCCCAAATATCCCTTAAAAATTACCAAAGAAGAAATATAGCTTTTTAATGAAAAGCTCTGGATGCATTTTGAAAAGTTTCTTTTTATTCAGTGTTTTGAGGACACTGTTGCAAATCTCTCTCAGGTGATAATAGTTGCATCTGACCCACTTTCCACCACTCTGTGCCAATTCTCTCTAACACTGCAAGTCATAAAAGTAACATCCTGTGATATCCAGCATTATTACTGCACTTCAATAGCTGTATTCATGAAAATCTCAGGACAAAATGAGAATTGTTACATTTAACATGTTAGAATACGTAATTCATAAGTAATAACTCAAAGAAAAAGGAAAAAACCTCGCAAAATCTGAGCCTCTCCTGCAACATTATTAACTTTAATATGGAAAAAAGAAAGTCAGAGAGGATGATAATTACTACTCTAGTGTGAAATTTTGCAAGGCATATTCTGGACACGTTAATTCCTTCTGCCTCACCATGAAGCTGAACCCATCGTGGCTCACAATGAGCTTTTTCAGAGAGATTTCAAATCATCTTAAAATACCTTCAAGAGGTGCTTCATAATGCAGGAGGGCTCAATGCCAGCAAAAAAAACCCAGACAGGACTCCAGTGGCACAGAAGGTCACCATCCTGTCCCCAGAGGGCAGGATGCAAGAAGCCAGGGAGTGAGTAAACCACTATGCCAGCTGTCTGCAGCTCAGGCAATGCTTCTCTTAAATATATATTTTATTGGCAAATCATAAACATTATGTGATAAATCAAAACATTATCACTAAATCACCAATCAGTACATTATCACTAAACAGCAAACAGTGCTCCTGAGGAGAACGGGAAAGATTCTGATCTGACAGACAGCACTTAAAACCACAGTGAAACAGCTGAAATCTGTGAGTTGCTTAGTCATCAACATGACTAAGACTCAGATGAGAAACAAATGAAAAACACTGATATCTGTCTTGTTTTTTAAAGAAAACTTGTTCTCACAGTCTACACTGAAATGTACCTTTTTATCCTTCAGTTACATTAAATTTTAATATTAACATACCTAACAGCATATATGAAACAATTCACTGTAATGCTTATCAGTATTGCACCAGAAAAGGTGGTATGGTGAAATGCAAGCATTAAGCCATGCAAATGGCTCTATTAAATAAAGGATAAATATTTTAGGACCTGCAAAATCTATTTTCTATTTTAAATGGCATGCACTGTAATCTTCACCATTTCCTAACTCCAAACATTTATTTTTAAAAAAGGCAAACTTCACAAAAAGATTAATTGCGATCTCCTGAAACATAATTGGGAACTTGAAAAAGTGCAGTGAGGTTTGGAGAAAGTCATAGATAATTTGCTTGACATACCTTGAAGTACATGAAATAAAATACTCTAGTATGTATTTTTCAAGACAAATACATGGACTTTGGCTGCACACTGGAATTTATCCTTTCTGAAATCAATCTTCTGGAATTTCAAAAAACAACTAGTTCTTCCACTGCTCTTTTTGAAAATACAGGTATACAGAAATTAGGGATGAATCCAGCTGTTCATTGCTAGATTTAGAATTTGGCCCACACCAAGAATTTACACCAGTTTACCAGTATGCCACATTCCCTCAAAAGCAGGAAATTCTGGTGCTCTCCTCTAGTGCCAATCACTGTGTCTTCTTTTATTTTAAACCACCCTGCTATGTGAATCCGACCAGCAGCACGAGAGACTCAAAATTAAAACGTGCTCATTTTCACTCTGCCTGGTCTCTGGTCTCACTTCTTCTTTCCACTCACTTCCCACAGTGTGATGTTTCCTGCCTGTGAAACCCACGGCTGCGGCAGCGCAGCAAGAAACCTTGCACAGAGTTATAGAAGTTGCCATCCCTGGCAAAAGCCTGAAAGTAAACATACCACTTGTAATTAGGATGCTGACAGGTCCCTGCAAGAGGCAGAGGCTGGAGCCAGCTGCAAGCACAAAGCAAGTATTTGCCCCCTCAGGTAACATCACAGGGAAGCCCAGAGTAACCCACTTGTCTTACGAGCAGCAACACTTGCAAGTTAAAGAGCTGCTAACAAAAACATAGACTGACACTAAATATAAAGGATTCGTTTCAGCAGTGCTTGGAGGGATAAAAAAAAAATAGAATACTGTAAGAGCAAAAGTAAATTGTAAAATAAATATTTCAAGATTTAAACTAATAATAGAAGAGCCCATAAATCATCTTTGCAATCACTCCCAATCCTACCAGAGATCCATCCGCTCCAAATGGATGCCTATTACCAGGTCTTCAGCATACATTACGGGATAAAGATGACTGTAAGCAATCTAATTTACTACTGCAGGAAAGAGATGCCAGAGAAAGTGTTAGAGGAGTAGCATAAAACCCTGGAGAGAGCTGAATTTTTCTAGGAGACTCTGCACAGTGTGATTTTGTATAAAATGACATGTAACACCAAGCCTAGACAGCCAAACGAAAGGTTACCTTCCTCTCAATTTCTGTTTCCCTGTTTGGGGCCAGGAACCTAAGGATTTAAGGGACTGGAGGGTAAGAAAGACAAGCCAGAATAAAAGTATGATACTGTACATTACCAATACTGGTACTAACAAAAAATGGGGCTGAACAAGTTTTCCTGGAAGATTAAGTAGTTCCTGTGATTTCTTAACTATTTGAGGTAAAAAATAATGAAAAAGAATAAGTCTGTAGAGTGCAGTGCAAAGTGTATTTACTAGTGAGCTCATCACAATGATGATAGGCTCTCAGGAACACTGATGCTTGTGATACAGCTCTGCAATGTGCCCACTGGAATAGCTGTAAATTATAGAAAATCAGACTAAAATCCTAGAAACCATTTTTTCCCAACCAGATTGTTTTTCTTCTTCTACATATGCTTTATGGTCAGTCCCTCTGTGTCCACTGACCTCAGGCCCTGCAGTACCAACAGCCATTTAGATTCAGCCACTGAGTTCCTGTTTGAAAGATGCAGGAATAAATTTCCACAAGCAAATTGCAGAGTCCGAGTCCACCAGTCAAAGCTGTACTTCAATATTTTGCTCTTTCCTATCAAACTGCCTTGTATTTGCATGAGGGAGAGGACAAAAGGCTGCCAAGAGTGCAGCAGTAAAACGACATGTCAAGCGATTGAACTACATGCTGTAACAAATCAGAATTCTACTTTAGTTCACAGTTTCTGAATCACTGTGCATGTGCATGCATGTGGTTGTTTGTTTTTTACTGTTTTGTGCGATTTTTCATTTCATCACACTGCTAGATCATACATTGTGTCACGAAGAACAGCAACTCATAAATTCTGCATGCCAAGTTACGCACAGTGTTGTATGAGTAGGTGTTTGAAGAAAAGCTTGATCAGCCTTAGGTAACTCTAAACACAGTATTGTTCACTGGGGCTGATGTTCACTGGAATTAGATTTGGCATAAGCCTACAGGAAGTTGTTGAGTTTTGTGTGCACTTTAAAGAGTCAGGATTATACTTTTTCCTTCATTGGTAGTCAGCAGAAGAGTTGACAATGTGCATAGCCTGGGGTGGGGAACTTATTTAACTTTCTCCCCATAAGTTTCTTTGTACAAATCTGAGATACATTTACATCAGCAGCAAGTCCCAGGATCTAGCTAAAGGGATATAGCTGGGTAGCAGCAGTAATGATGGCAAGGGTAAGAGAAGCCCTTTGTTCAGCATTTTCATTCAACAGGATAAATTCAGATTCTCCTTGTGTTTCAGCAGTTTAGAATTAACCTCCCAGCACAGCAGAATTTTTCTTCAGGTTCAGCATCCTGTGCCTATTAAAATTTCATCACTAAAGTTGCCAGAAAATAAGACTAGTAAATAGTGCCCAGCATGGCCTCACTGACGAACACCCAGGCAAGTACCAAACCATCTGATGTCACTGCAATCCTTCAGATCGGGGACAGCAAAACCTCAGTACAGACAGTAGAAAAGCAGAACAGGAAAAACACTGAAACCATATGATCTTGAGGACACTCTGAAGCACTAGGAGTAAAACTTCTCAGCTCTTAGGTCCCTAATCTACTGCTACATTCAAAATTCTGCCTATCAGACACCATAAGCATATAGTTATTCTATCTTTGTGTACACTTTTTAACGTGCCCCACCTGAGCATATTTGAAGAGAGCCCAGGAAGATTGTGGGATGGAGGGGGGAGAAAATACACTGATAACTTCTAAAATGCCAGTGGGTTATCCATTGTATGATCCAATACAGGGGTGGGGATGGAGAAGAAGCCAAACCTCTTACCATTATTACTGTTATCATCAACTAAAATGATCTCCTTGAGCAGGTGAGCAGGAGTCCGGTCAATGGCTGAATGGATGGAGCGCAGGATCACTGAGAGAGCTTCATTAACAAATATGAATACAATGCTGACCTCAGGAAGACTGTCAGGAAATGTAAGGTTTCTGCACCTGAAGAAAAAGGTTAAAGAAAAGAAAAGATGTAAACTGTCTGAAGTCACAATGCAAACACAAACCACTTCAGAGAAATTCTAAGAACACTAAGGGAGCTTTTGAAGGTTCCCAGGATCCTCATGCTTCTTCAGAGCACATACAGGCAAGAACCCCATGAATACTATCTCAAAGAAGGAAAACCTGAAAACAATCTCCTGAATCTGCCTGTGTAAAACAAGGCCTAGTGTGAGCTCACCTTCCCACCCAAGGCCCACAACACTGCAAGCCAGGTGTGAACTCCTGTTTGAAGGCAGTTTTCAGCAGCAGTTGCTTACAGCATCTTTCTGGACAGTGTAGACAGGAGTAAACAAAGTTAGTCCCTTACTTAAGAAAAGATCTTTGCAATAGCCACATCAATTACTTTTGCTACAAAATCTACCATCTATCTTAGTCAAAATCAGAAGATACTTTCTCAATTTAGTAATAAAACGTTGTCCAGAGAAGCTATGGATGCTCCATCCCTGGAAGAGTTCAAGGCCAGGTTGGATGGGGTTCTGAGCAACCTGGCCCAGCGAAAGGTGTCCCTGCCCATGGCAGGGGGCTTGAATGATGTGATATTTAAGGTATAACCAGAAAAATAGGTACAACAATGGAAAACTTATCCATAAGCCCAATCAAGGAGTTTAATCAGGAAGAGTAATATTCTCATAACCTGGTAGATTTTTCTTTCCTTTTCAAAAATAGATATATCAGCCACATTCCAACTTGCTTATGCAATCATCAGTATGGGAGTGCTGCCCACAAATTTAAACTTCCTTAGTGTATTACTGTTTAGTTTTTTCCCACTTTCTCCATTTCAAAAAGATTCAAATTTTGTAATTTTAAGTATAGAAAGACCTTTTACCACTCTACCTTTTTAAAGTGTCAGCAAAATATTTGCTTTTTTTTTTATAAAGTCAAAAGTCAATTAAGTAAAAGTAATTAAGTACTTTCCTCTGAAACTTTTAGTAGTTTAATGCAACGTTTCTGAACAACAATTATTTTAACTTTTTTTTTTTTTGCAGAGCTGAAACTATTTACCAGGGTGAAATTAGGCCACAGGCTGACATAGGCAGCATTTCAGATAGACTGTAGATGAAAATGATTGATGTTAATGCTGTTCTTTTCATCCAGACAGCACTGAAGTGGCTATCTTCTCTCAAGATGCCAGGGTTTACTACATCCAGGAACTCTGGTAATCTGGAAAGCATTACTGCAGGTCAGTGCTTAGCATACAGACAGCATGGATGGATTTAGAATTTTCTACATCATACTTTAATATAATTTCTCAACTAAATTCGTTCTTCAGTTCCAAGAGAAAGCATAGCAATTGTTTTATTTTTTACTTTAACTTTTATACCAAATAAATACAGAAAAGAACCACAGAAGCATTTCTCTTCATGGGCTGGATGACGTACAGAGCTTAAGTTCAATCAAGATAATGAATTCACATGTAGACTTTTAAAGGTTCCGAAAAAACTCCATGTATAGGACACATGACAGCCAAACCCACTGAGATACACATAATATTCAGAATTCAGCTGGTCAACCAATTTTCTCATTTCAGCCATTAGTGTGAAATTGATGGAAATCACATTAAAGAAGCTATTTAATATTTTAGATACTTTTCTTTCTGTCACAATGTGAAAGAATTATACAGACATCTAAAACAGAAATCACAGTCTTGAGAAAGTAACAACAGCTCTATTCTTGAAGGGTGTGCACTGTATTTTTAAAAACCTGGTTCATACATCTTTCAAAAACAAATATGAAATCTCCTCACAGAGATTCACAGTTCTACAGCATCAGAACAAGAGAGAAACAATTAAAATGGTGTGTGGATTTACCGACTCCCACTTGTGGCTTGATCTTTTGGCAGCATAACAAATCAAAACTTTCTTACCAAAATGTTTGTATTTCTACTGGTGTGTTAATCCTCTATTCATTGGTAAGAGAACTCTCAGCTTTAAGCATCAGATTGAAAAGGGTTTTTTAAAAGCTTTCAGGAGAGCTGAAATCATGTTACTCCTGGTTTCTTTTTTTTTTCCTTTGTTTTTATTTGTTTGCCACTGGACAGCAGATCAGATGTATCAACAGCTTGTGGAAGTGTCATTCTATCATTTATATTCAACTACCACTTTTTTTTTTCTTTAAAGTGAGCACTCATTCATTAACGATGATTTGTCATAAAATTTCACTACTCTTGAAAATCAGATTCCCATAAAGGCTCACATCTGGATATCTTTTATACCTGACCTTTAAAAGCAGATGAATCTTACTGGTTTTGGTGAGTTTTGCTGGCAATTAAAATTTTTTAAGAAGGATGTATCAATAGAATTCATGAAAGAACCCTAAATAAAAATCAAAATATTGCAGTTTTCAGCAGAGTGATACATAACCTGTGAAGCACAGAGCTGCTCAGAAGCCCGAAAGACAGGGAAGGAGAAGCTTTCTCCATGGAGCACTGTGGGCCCTCTGAATTAATCAGAAGCATAGGTACTTTCCAACAGATAGGAACCTGAATGGTTTTTATAAAAATACAACACTACAAGAGGCAGAGGGAGCTGCCTTTTCCTCCAGAAGACAATTAGTGCAAGGCAGCACTGGTTTTCTCTTTTAGACAGCAGTTCAGGAGTGTGTATTTCAGGGTCAAACTGGCTGGGAGGCCAACGTGCTTACAATTACATTACAATTCATAAATACTAACATATTTTCCAAAAGATTTTAAGACCATTACAGACCCAGGTCCTTGAAGAACACATCTGTTCATGGCACACTGATGTATGTGCATTGACAGAAAAAGTACCAAAGTGGGGACTACTGCTTAGTGGATGCGTCACTTACATGGAAGTTAGGTGGACAAATTTGCATGGGTACAATGAAAACTTACTAACAGAGTTCTAGTCTCCTGCACACCTTTATAAAGCTAACACAGCTTTGTTTGATGTAATAATTGAAATTTCATCCAAGTTTTGAAAATTGGGCTTCAAACAGACTATGAACTAGTTAACAGGTTTAAATATGCTGAGATAATTTCCGGCATTACCCTGTAAAGAACCTGTTATTTTAGTGATTCACTTGCAGCCAAAATGCATAGATATAAAATGGTCCAGCAAACAAAGTTACAGCCAATCTATCTTTTAGCTGTCTAGCTGAGGTACAGCAATATTTGTTATCCTCAGCCATAATAGTGTACAAAGAAGATAAAAATGAAGCTTTAGCAAATACAGTAAGATATGGCACCTATTAGGTATAGAGCAACAGAGTGATTTTGGAAAATATATTGAATGGCAATGAAAATTCACTGAAAATAGTTTTTAAAAGTTGCTTTCTTAAATACAGGTGTTTTAGTGCTTCTTCATCAATTAATATAAGGTTGAGATATATGTAAAATACACTATTTAAGAAATTAGTGACAAGTTATATTCCAAAAATGTTCCAGATGACAAAACCAGCCCCCAATACACTGTTTCCCTGCTGTAAATCCATGCATAAACTGAAATGTGCAAACAAAACTTCTGCTTCTGACGTGTCTTCCATCCATTTAAAGGAAATTATTCCTATTGGTTATCCTACCTGCTTTCATTTACTTCTTACATATTTTCAATTTATATCACACTGGACAAGATTTGCCATTGCTGGCAACTTGTGCAGATAACAGGAAAGCTGCAAATGTTGTTTGGCTCCCTTTTGGCACCACCATGTTTTAAAAGTAACTACATATGACACAAGAGAACAGAATTAGGCTCCGTTGTGTGTAATTTCTTTAGTCTTTTCAAATGGGCTCATTTTCAATTAGGGTACACTCCTAAATTGAGTTCATGTTTTCTTTTTTTCCATTCAGACTCATTCATCATCTTTGCTTACAGCTCCAATTCACTTATTTTCCAATATATGTGTAGTTTTTCAGAAATGCATTTTCCTGTCTACGTTTTCTCGTATCAAATGACGACAATAAAAATTACCTACTTTTTTTTTTTTTTTATTTAAACTAATCAGAATTCACCTCGCCCCAGATCAGGCACAGAATGCAGAGCTCTTATGCATTTTCACAAGCACGTCTGTCATCTTCCTTATGCCAAGTTTTATGAGGAATAAAATTCCATCATTATAGGAATGAACAAAAGAGTAGCTACAGAGAAAGGGCACATGTATATCTGTATAAAATATGCTGAAGGGGGGAAAAGAGAGGAAATTGTACAGATCAAAATCTGAGATCCATTAGGCTCTGAGAACTGAACGGTTGCGTGGCAACAGTGACGGACGAGTTTCAGTGACAGCTCTGCCTCGGACTCGTCCATGGGGCCTCAGTCCAGACCCCTACCCTGCCCCTCCACACAGAGAGGCTCTCACTAAACAGATCCAAAGGCACAGAGTGTATTTCAGTATTGTGGCTGATTTTAAAACGTTAATTCTAAATATTATTTAGAATGACAATGAGTATCAGTCCAACGTAGCTAAAAAATTACCGCTAGCAACCTACTCTGCTCAATCACATTAGGCTAATAACACTAACGGAGCAGTTGTCATGGTTACCAGAAATTTAGAGAAACTCCTGGTGTTCTATTTCAAGCACAACTCTGGTAAATGGAGGACAGCATACATTATGAATCTTCTTTCAAATATTTGTCCACAAGACAATTAAATATGTTCCTCTAGAACATATGCACTGTGATAGGACAATTTAGCCAGTCACATTAAAATTACTTTAGCATAAATATGCAGTTAAGAAAAATGAAACAAGAATGATTTCCAGTATTAATAACTTATCTCTGAGACCTTCTACTAATAGGTACATAAATTATGAACAAGAATTATTTTCTGCAATTTTTGAGAACCTTTCACCAAGAGTTACGTGGGTATCACAGCCAGCAATGGCAAAAGAACATGTTTTTTATTTTAATCGCTACATTACAGCATATATTCCACTTTTTAAATAAAAATACAAGATGCAATAAGCATATTACTAAAACATTTGGGTTCAAATTCTTGTTTTAAGAACATATGTGGGAGGGAGTTTTAGTTCCAAAAGAGTAAGAATTTCTCAGAAGCACAAGTAGAAACAGAATTGTACTTTCTTCAGGAACTGTTAACGTTTTGTCAACAGCCAAAATGTCAAATGGAAGTTCAAGGTGTATGGGAGTAAAAAAAATCCCATGCTGGCATAAATGAAATAAACAGCACAAAAACTCTGGCAAAAGAACTGAGACTAGTAAGAACTGTAGCTCAACTATTTATGTATTTATGTTTATAATTTAATTTTGTGATCAGATTTCATTTTTCTTTTGCTATTATAAGTATTTTAGGTGTTAACTGAGTTATGCTAAGAAGGCTGGCATTGAACAACATATAAAAAGTGCACTTCTTTTCCTGTAAAAGTGTATGTCATTATTAACTCAGGCTATTACTCCAGCAGATTTCCTGTCACTGGCAATGATATTAAACAATTTTAGAGCAGCCATTTGAGGAGATACATCCAGATAGGAAAAACTGAAGCTCAAATCAGAATCCCAGGGGGCTGGTCAGGCAGTACACACTATTGCTGTGAGACAGTGTGAAGGCAGGCAAAGGTGAGACAAGAAAAAGAAGAATCAGAGGTAGAGAGTAAATAAAAGAAAGTTGGAAATATAACAGAATTAAACATTAAGTATTCAACAAGAACGTTGAACACTTTCGTAATTTTAGGATTTCTGTGCAAAATAGTACAATACGTAATGTAATAGGGGTTTGTGTTCTTTTTAAGCAATTCCTTTGAAACATCAAACACAACACATACTATTTATGTTCTCTTTGCTTTTTCCAGTAGCAACAAAAGAACTTGGGCAGAAATGAACATGGATCCACATCCATCACTAACATAAGCCCAGCAAAACAGAACTATTTCACAGGGACATGAGGAAGCAAACATTTATGGAACACAAGTCTGTAGGGGCTGGTTTATAGGGAGATGCAGAGCTAACATGCAAATGCCCAGCCTGAACCTTAAAATTTGAAACCACATGTTTTTCTTACATGCAGGTTTAAAAAAGGAAAAACTTTATAGAAGTCTGGTGTCTTGCATGCTACATCCTGGATTGCACATACCACCATAACGCTGATGGCCGTTTTGGACAGATGAACAGACATGAACAGCTTCTGTCCTAAACCACATCATTCTCTTCAACTGGTCAATGCTTGATTTTTCTCCATTGTAGTCACATCTGCATTCAGGGGACCTCTTGCCTGCTCTGTTTGTGTCCACCTTACCAAAAACCTACTTTATACCATGGTCCCTTGCCAAGTTGAGCCTCTAAGTAATACAATTCGGGACTGGTGAACTGTTTGAAACAAGAAGAACTTATAAAACAGCAAAGGCTTTTCTCTGCACACAAAACAGGACCTCTCCTCTGCACTTGTCTAGATGCCAAACAGCACTGACTCACCAGAAAAAGGTCAAACCTGCTGCAAGCCACATGCTATACCATAGTATTTGACAATCTCCAAAGAAAAAACAACTGAGCATTATGAGTGGCTTTTCCCCTCCACCCTTCCTGCTTTTGCTTCTTTGCTTTCTTTCAGTCAGTTAACTGGTCAGGCTCCTTCGTATCATACAGTCTGTGCAAGAGCAAAACTCTTTGAAACAGTTCCTCTGCTGGGGTCCTGCTGCACACCTCCTTTTCCTCTACCCCTCCCTCCCTCGCTCATCACATAAGCAACGAAGAATGTTATCTCTCTCTCCCATGTGTGCTTTGGCACACTAGATCAGGTAAAAATTTACAAGCCAACAGAGTAGAACCCTGAGAGCATCCACTCAAAAGGAGTTTGGTAGACAGCTTTAGGATCCCTAAACAACCTAACTTTTAATAATGGAGTACTGTGCGAGCTGGTTTCATTCACATTTCACTCACGACAGGCTTTGTGGGTAGTGCCTGCCCTACTTAAAGTAATGAGCACAACAGAGTTATAGCTAACACAGAAATATTATCCTGCTCCTGCACACAGCAAAGGCAACGTCGCCTTCCTCAATACTTCCAAGCTCATTAGAGCCAGAAGTTATTTGTTAGTCTATGATGTAGATACATTATGGGCTAACAGATGCAAATAAGGGTGGTAAACAACAGAGCACCCAATTTCAGCAGCACACAATAAATGGAGGCCCTGGAAGAGGCAGTACAAGCAATACTCCACAATAATGCTTGCACTACCCATTAAGTACCACAAAAACAGCCCACTTCAGGATGTTAGGACTACTTCAGGAGGCTGAGGCATCCAGGGGAGTTATTTATTACAGTTAGTATTACAAGAGATTACTTTGGACTGTGCTGGGGACTCCCCTATGCCAGAACAAATGCTCACAGTGAAAAGTAATCAAATTCAGAACTGGACACAAAGCTCATGGCTGTACCCAGGGTCAGACACCACTCTGCAGTACCTAAAACACGAGAAAGCCCCACTGCAAGGTGTGGAAACTGCCACAGCCTGACCCAATTGCAATCTGCTGGATGGTTCCACCTGACTGGTGATCATCTTTTTCCAGAGAAGCCAGAGTTCAGAGGCTTGGGCAGAGTGCACTGCCCTAACTACTAACTGTGCTCTAGCTCTGCATGCCATCCACATTGAAGGACTGGGCAAGGTTGAACTTTTGCCCTCTCCTCCATCTGTGTTGTGGCTCAGCAATCTCTACCCCTCCTCTGGCTTTGTCGTGGCATTAAATGTTAACAATATCAATCCCAGAAAGTACTCTGTGCTATAATACGGGGTCATTACATACATGGAGTGCCCTTTCTCACTGCAGAACCTTGTAAAGAAATGCTGAGCTCCCGTGCTAAGATATGTCGATGTGAATTCTCAGAAGCAAGGCAGGCAGAAAGAAGGTCAAGGCTGAGTCATACCAGAATTATATAAAAGGGGCTATTAACACCACACACTTTTGGCAGATCACTTAATTCTCCTAGTCTCGACTGGGGCTAAGCATGTATGAATTACATTAGGTTTCAGTTACACATATATTTCTGTTGTCTTTCCAAATTCCTATACTTCATACAAGCATGACAGAACACAGCTGAGCCCAGACACAACTATGTGAACTCCACTCCTTTAGCTAACCCCCCCACAAGCCTTTGTCAGGATTCCAATGCCATGCTGATTCTGGCAGAACCACTGCCAAATCCAGGCTAATGAGCTTGGTTAGGCCTAGGCTAAGTCCACGCAGAGCTACTGTGGTGCCTCTGTCACCTCTGTGCTTTCCTGCATTTCTAGTCAGAACAGGAATACCACTGATGAAGGTCCAGCAGAGTTGATTAACTCAGTCTCCACGCCACTTGCTGCATGTTCCCTTCAGACCAAGCTGTCCTTGGCTTTCATGCTGTGCTGCTTGAGCCTGGTATCTGCCCATGGATAATTTAAATACATCTATATAGACTCAGGAAGCGAGTGCAATTGGCTTAAAAACAGGTGCTACAAATCCTAAAAATTGATTACTACAATGGAAACCATACTCTCAGAGTAGGGGTTTTTTCCTCCCCTAACAGTCATGCACAGGCTCTCACAAAAATGAGAATTTGCCAGCAGTGAGGATTCTTTTTTCAGCAACATGACTGTCAGAATACCCTGTAGCTCTGTACTCCACAGGATGCTGTAGATACAGCAAATAGTTTGCATACTACCTGACAACACACTTCATTTCCCTCTGTATTAGAATTTACTACATTTTAGTGTCAAACATTATTTTGTATGTATGTGTCCATAAACATATTGTGATGTCTAGCATGTTTCTGGCAGACAGTCAACTAAGGACCAAATATTTCACAGAAATTAGGATCATGATTCATTTCTAACTGGAGTTTTTTTGAAAATCCCAACCTTAATTTATTTCTTTCAGTTACAGTACCATTCATTTCCCCTGTCTTTTTAATTTTTAAAACCTCTAGTTATAAAAAATTTAATTTAAACCATTCAGAAGAGTAATTTCAAAAGAGATATAGGAACAGAAACATTTCTATCACTGATGTCTTATTAGTGACAGAAGATTTCTTTTTCCCCTAGATTAGTTTATGATACCAGCATGCTTATTTTCATGATTTATTTTTTTAATGAGTTGCAAAAAACAGTTTTCCCTCCACCCATTTCTCCATCTCCAGAGCTGCTGTTTGTTCCAAGGATCAGATGTATCACCAAGGCTTAAACTTAAGTTGAGCATTAACTGTCTCTGTGAATGGTCCTACCAGAACAGACCTCAAATGCACTGAAGGGAAGGTTTTTCACTCCACTGGTCCCACCCACCTCACCAAGCCACTGTGGAATAACAGTGGATGCACTCACCCTGCCTGAAATACCTGCTTCCCAGCAGAGAACTTCCCAGAGAAGGAGGCTCCGTGGGCTTTCAGCTGGCCCACGCTGCTTGACTGAAGTGTGTAGTTCACCACAAGAGCTCAACAGTTTCACCTGTCTACTGGTCTTAATCAAGCAGTTCTGGGCTTTCAAAGACAGCAGTTCTTCTTCCTATCTTAGTCAGATTTGCTGATAAAACTGAAATTTAACATTAAAAGGTCTTTCTTTTAGCAATACAATACTTGTTATCTCATAGTAAATTGTAGATGAGATTAAGGTTCCAAAGGATCTGGAAGAAATTTCAGTGAATACTTAATGGGATTTTAGCAGGACTCACTTTGGGCACTCTGGTGTTTTAGAAGACATTCGAAACTTACAGCCTTCATGTATTTGAGAGAAATTCCTCATTCTGACCATCCTACATAAATTACCTACCATGTGATTGCACACCACAATGTAACACCTCCAGGTGAAAAAGAGCTAACAGACTCCACAGCTCAGGACCTACAGTGCCAGGGTGGAGTCAGGCACTCACCCGCTGGGCCGGAGGTCAGGCAGGGGCCTGTCCAGGGGCAGGCGGTCGCTCAGGTACGCGTTGTATCCGTAATACTGGAATTGTTTCAGTGCGATCCGTCGGTTCTCGGGACTGAGATCCTGGCCCCAGTGAGCAAAGAGAGAGGAGTCAGTGAACGCCTCAGCAGGATTGTCTTCCAGTTTTGGTGGAGCTTCTACAAGAAACAATGACAAAAAGAAACAATTTCAGATTTTCATTCCGTGGGCTCTAGGGTATGTTATTTTAAAAAGCATAACTTTAGGGGAGAGTAACACACAGACAGCGCCTGCTGCCAGCTTACAGCAGCCTGTGAGTCTTCCCATTACATGCCCTTATGTACCTCTTGTGGTGGTGTAACTATTAGCACCTCAGGCTCAAAATTTAATATGCAAAATAAAGTCAGGCAGAGACAATTCTTTTTCATCATGATCTGACTAAAGGCCAGGACTGAAAAATCTAAGCAAATTAAATTTCAGAAGATTCTTATCAGACAAGAATGTTATTTTGCTTTTATATACAAAGATTTAAATTAATTTTAAATTTAAACTATTTAATTTTAGCCTGTATTACCTTGCTAGAAAAAGATGTAAGTTTTGAAGGGGAAAAACAAAGTCTGTACAGAACACACAAAATGGCTGCCAAAGTCCATGTGTAAAATAAGTTCTTTGAAACTACACATTCAACAGACAGAAAAGATCTATTTTAAATTTGGCATTCATATTTAAATATCAAACCGTTTTCAGTCATGCAGTAACTTTATGGACCAGTTTATCAATCCAACTTTTTTGAATTTTCAGTCCATATTTAGGTGCGTGCAACATTGCTACTGGGATCATCACTTTACAATATTTTTGTCATAATAATAGTTTTTCATTCCATGGAAAATATACCTAGAGCTTAATTTAAGAAGAGCTCCAGTACAATGAAATCACAGCATTCATTCTTAATGTTAAAATGCTCAGAAATCTGTTCAAGGTGACTTGAGAGGCTCTCTGTGACAGAAGCATCCCACTCTTCACCCAGCACTTTGGTTTTCATGAAGCTGACCACATGACCTAACCCAGAGAGCCCCCTGTCTCTGCAAACACTTCTCACCAGTACAGAAAGACCAATTGCCTTACTTGACCCCTATTTGTCAACATAAATTAGAGCCTCACAAAGGAAAAACATCTCAATTTTCTGGAAATTTTAACTCTTTACCAACTGGCACCATAGTCATTACTAACTAACCAACTAAATAAAAAGCTCTCCGAAGAGCTGTACTCACAAACAATAAATGTTTAATGACACTGAGACTTATGAAAATAAAAGTGAATCTTTGGAAAGTCTTTCAGTTTGTCCAATAGGGAGAAACTTCAACCGTGTCCAAAGTCCTCCTCAGTGCTCAGAGTCACCTACAGGCCTGACAGCTGGCTTAAGCTTCATGGAAACATCTAAAGACAAGTTTCTGTACTAGGAGTACATGCCATCATAATCCTGACTCCCAAAGAATGCCAGGAAGCATCCTTTGATCTCTCGCTAAAAAGCATCCAAAACTCAGAAACATAAATTGAGAAAATTAAGCTGTTTGATTCACTCGAGATGTTCTCCTTTTTCCCCTGACAATACCGACAGGAAACTAATGACACTTGCTTCCTGGCATCGCGTTCCAACCTCTGTAAGTACGGAATGTTTCTTTACTTGTCAAAGTACTGTCTCCCAGCCTGAATCCAGGAATTGGCTCCAGTTCTTCAAAGATGAAAGACATGCTAAACCCTCAGTCAAAGAAGGAAACTACTCTGCTACTACACAGATAAATGAGAGAGTGGAGCTTGTGCACTCACATACAACTCTGCAATGGAAATGACAAAAGTTTGATAAATTCAGATAATTTTAGAGGATCCTGACTTTAGAAAGGCAGAATAGCCTTTAAATATCAGTCCAAAAATCACAGCAACATGGGAAGTCAGGTGTCTCTGTTGTTTGGTAACTACGTGATCTCCACAAAACCAACTTGAATTTGCATGAAGAATTTCATAAACTCTTTTCACAATGTAAGAGATATTCAGATCAGGTGTGTTCCTGACCCTAGCCAGCAGAAATTAATGTAGCTCAGCACTTTTCAAGAATATGTACATTTGTGCTAATCAAGAAAACTATGCAAGTATTTGTTCAGACTGTTGTGTGTTACAGTAATCTGCATTTCTTTAAATCAAGCACACTTTACCTGATGGTTTTAACTTCTATATTTATTATTACTCCTATGGCACAAGGCTATAGGATCCCCTCACATACAGACAGCACACCAATGCATTAAGACATCTGAGTAAAAATAAGACTCACAATAAGAACAGTGCATGCATATGCATTTGTAACTACAGGCAGTGCCAAAGATCATTTTTCATGGATGAAGAGCCATCTCAGAAACAACCACTTTCACAGAATCACACTCACACGGGCATCTATTGAATTTTATCTAATGATTTTGTGGGCAAGAGTATTTCCTAAAGTGATCTATGAGTCTCTTCCTACTTTCTGATTGAAAAAGTGTTCAGTAATCCAGTTTGTATCAGCAAGGCTAAGATTTTCCAGCAGCGGATATCTGTTGAAGTTAGTTTACAAGCTCTACTGAACCACTTGCCAAATGCAGGCATTTTCTGTATGCTAAGCAGACATGTTATTTCAATACATTATTCTACAGGAAAAAAGCATTAGCAAGAATTTTCAATTACAATTCCAATCAATGGTATTAAGACCACATCTCTGATGACAAGGTCTTTCTTCCCTCTATTTGGCTGAAAACCCTTGGATGAAGCAACTTTATTCAGTCAGTCTAGTGGAGGAAATAAAAATAATTATTATCAGACCATCAGCTGCCTTTTGACTGGTCAACAAGTGCACTTGATGCCTTAGTCTCTGTGAGCAGATCTTGGCCTGAAGTCTCACAGCCAGTTCTTACCACTTGCTTCTACAATGGTTGAATGATCATGGGAGGCGAAGGCTCAAAGGTGACGCATGAGTAGTAGTGCCTGAAGCAGTACAAAGGTAGGCACATTTATATGCTCTAAAAAAGAAAGATCAGTTCCATTTTTTCCTGTGGGAAGGAATCTTGCTATCTGCAGCACATTACTGCAAATGTTATCATGAGGTTCTTCCCCATATTAATTTTGTCCACCTGCCCTATGCAGACATGAGCTTGGTGTTAACTCTTGGCAGACTGACACCTTGCCATTCAACTGATTAGTGCCAGAAATATATTACACAGGAGTCAGCTGGCTGTACACCTGGGCTAAGGAATCTCCTTTCAGAAGCCTTTCATGGCATCAGCATAGAGGTGGCCATACATCAACTGAGTCAAAAAACCTCACAGTTTGTATTCCAAAAGCATCTGTGTGTCTTTAGCTCATAATTTCTAGATCATGTTTTCTATTGTTATGCAATTAATCTTAATATAAATCCATTGCTTCATCTGATCTCACTGACCAGCCTCCAAGACAGAAATTCTCTATCGCTCATTATACAAAATTAGTCAAAGACACAAGACACTACTGAAATAATAAGAAATGGACATTTTGTTGTCTGTTTAACTGTTGCCTGGTTGTAGAATCTCTGAAGAAAGTATTTGATTTATTACCAATTAACACAATCATTTAATTAATAATTTGGGTTTAATCTCCATAAAACCCTCTGAAGCTCATTAAGAAATACATACTTTTTTCAGTTTCATTCTGATTTTGACTTTTCCTCCTAAGAAAGGTTACCATGGACAATTAAAAGAAAGGATCAAGTCAGAAAAGGGCTGCAAAAATAGTTGCAGAGACAGACTCAGACATGCTATTTGTTCTTATTGGTCTGCAAGTTCTAGCCCCTATTTGACTGCAGCTCTATTCACAAAAGCAGCAGTGTTTCATATCAAAGATTTACCACTGTGAAAATGCCTTCCATGGAAACAGAACTGCTTTACAAAATCCGCAGTGTAACCTTATCTGGTGATTTCATTTCGTGCGAGTAACAAGAAGGCATAGACAGTAAGTCAGCAAAGATATTCTATCTGCAAAAATACCCCTATGTAAGCTAAAGACATGCAGAAGGCATCAGTATAACACTCGGGTGTAATAGGTTGCTCCCAAAATGGAAATGATGCCAGGATGTAGGCAGAAAAGCTTTGATCTTTGCCCTTCTGAGTTCTCCAGTGCTTTTCCCAGCCCAGAAAGGAAGGAGCACACCACGATTACAGAGGTGATGCAGTAACCCTACCTTACCTTACAAGGTGGACTAATTGACGTGCATCTAAGCAGACCATCATTAAAGACAAAACAAACCTCAGCTCTCTGAGGGAGACTGGCTCCCAGCACTCAAAAAAATCTATATTCTATTTCCTGCAGGCAATAGCCTTTCAGCTTTCCATGGAAGGAAGGATCCTTTCATCCTTTTCCTCAGTAGATGCTCTTCATCTGTTAGGCAATCCATACCCCCTCTACCCTCTTGCCAGAGGCCTTTCTATGTGACAGGTAAAAATCCCAGACTTGCATTGGGTCAGAGTTTTTGGAAGTGTGAAAATTTACCTAAACTTTGTCACACAAAAAGATACACACAGGAAGATCCCACTTTCAAAATCTATTGTAAATCATGGAAACACCTTATCAGAGTCCTTAAAAATTACAGTTTGATGGTTCCTATCTTGGAAGGCTGCTCCCATGCAGGACACTGTTACAAATCCTGTGGCAGACCTTCTCTCAGAAAAGCTATTTTACATATTCTCTCACCTCCCAAAAAATCTCAGTACTGTTGACGAGGTATCAGCATTAATATTGTTTTGTGATGAAAACTGAACTTTACAGTTTTGAATATTCAAGTTAATTCCCCTTGTTAGTTTTGTTCCTGAAGAAATGACTTTAGCAGAAGCGCACCTAAGAAAAAAATGAAATATCTAAGTGGGTTAAATTCTCCTAGTACTGCTTACTTACAGCTCAGTAAGTCATACTGAAGTTGCCAGGGTTCCTCAGAGAGACTTGAAAGAGCCTGTCAGACTTTGTCTGTACAGATGACAAAGACTAGCACAAAACCACTAAATCTGACCAAACTACACACAAAACATGCAACCACCTTGAGAAGATTCAACCCAATATCCCGACTTTGCATATCCCATCACACTCTGTAGTTAGTGTAAACACTGGACAGATCAGACAGACAGGGTATGGGGAAAAACAACAACAACAACAAAAGGTGATCTTCTCCTGACAAGCTGTCAGGAAGTCATGATAACACTATGAATAGCAAACAAACAGATGAAACTTTCAAGATTAAACTGCATATTACAGCACATATAGAAGGAAATGCTGAAAACTCTCTCAAAAAAATTTTGACATTTTTTAGAACTTGAAAAACAATTTGTTTAATATTATTTGATATGTTATCTCTACTGCATTTTAAAGCAGCCAATACACATGAACAATGGCAAGCTGCTAGCATGCTATCAACATTTATTTTCTTTTGTTTATTAAAAAAAACAAACCACCAGAGTCTCTCAGAATTTTTTGAATTATTATTCTGATAAATAATCTCATGCTTATTGTGCATAATAAGGTGGAAACTCAGTCTGGTTCTGCTGCTCAGCAGAAGCCCTTTCTCTCCCTAAAGTCTCATGCAACTTGTAGAAACAGAAACATCAGACTGTATTTTCCCTATATGAATGACACAAGTAGATAAAAACTAATAGCCAGAGAGAGGTGTTTGGAATCTTTAACCAGATTTACTCCCACACAAAAGTGCTCTGTGGGGCTTTTTTCTCCTATAATTTTTGCTAAATAGGCTGTCCCAGCACCCTGTGCCCTCAGGAATCCTGGGACAAATCTGTCTGGGTATTCCCATGGTGACAATCACACCAAGCACACACAAACACTATGCAGGGAGCCAGAACAGCTCCCCAGGGCAGGGGTGCCACATGTCTCCACAGCATTCTTGCCTCCACTCATATTACCTAGATTTTCCTATAAACTGTCCACTAGTCAAGACCACAAAGAGTCAATTATTTGTCAAATACACACTCAAAAAGGAATCAAGTTCATTGTGTCAGACATTCTCCATAATGTGCTGATTTGTCATTTCCTTTCTAGGGCTTCTTATCAGAAATATCAGATGTTTGGTGATAGAAAGATCCATGAGATCTTTGATTTCAAATTAAGAAGTTCTTATTATCAAGTCTTCTCAGATCTAAAATAATGGAATGAGTTAATATATTGCAAGAGACTAAAAAGGGATGCTAACATGTACATACTGGAATCCAGTGAAATTCAGGTTCTTACACAGCAGATGGACAGCCTGGCTATGGCTACTTTGGATTTCAAGTAATGAAGGCAGAGCAGCAACAGAATGTGAGACTTGCAGTGACAATCCAACTCGTGTTGGATTGTCAGAGAGGGCAGCTCACTTGTGCTGAAGAGTCACCTAAGACTCGGCTTCACTTTGCTTGGGATCAGGGCACTTGCAGCTGGAAGAGATCCAGATGCTTCTCCCAAGAAAGATACTGAGGGGAAGCCACTGGTTCCAGAAGGCTGCAGGTCACTGGTACAGAATACTTCAAGACCTTCTACCTACCTGGGCCATGTGTCCTGAACCTCACTTCATTTGGCTGTTGAGTGGTGAACACATCAGTCTGCAAACAAAGGCAGCTTTGGGCTTTTGGCAACTGAATGTTTGTCTCACTTGGACAAAACTGCCTGTTCTACATCATATATATGTGAGTATGGTCACCCAGCAAGGACAGAC